TAAAGCAGTCTTGGCTGTAAGTCCTTGCTTTTCATCACTTGTAATATTTAATGCCATTTCCTTCTGGTCTGAAATGTTTCTATTAAGATATCAGCTGACAATCTTATGGGAGCATCCTTGCAGGTAACTATTTTTATCTTATGGCCTTTAACATTTTTTCTTTGTCTATAACATTGACCCTTTTAATAGTGATGTGCCTTGGTGTGGATCTCTTTGGGTTCAACTTCTTTGGTACTCCATATGCTTTCTGAACTTATATGCTTTTTTCCTTTACCAGGTTAGAGAATTTTTCTCTCTCTTCTCCTTCTGGTACACCTATGATTCAGATGTTGTTATGCTTCATATTGTCCTAATAGTCCCTAAAACAATCCTTATTTTTTAATTCTTTTTTTGTTTTTTACTGCCATGATTGAATGTTTCTTTCTACCTCATCTTCCAAATCAGTGATATGATCCTTGATCCTCTGCTTTATCCAACCTACTGTTTATTCCTTCCAATGTGTTCTTGATGTCAGATATTATATTCGTTATTTCTGACTGGTCCCTTTATATGTTCTCTATGTCATTTTTTAAAAATATATTTTATTGATTTTTTACAGAGAGGAAGGGAGAGAGATAGTTAGAAACATTGATGAGAGAGAAACATCGATCAGCTGCCTCCTGCACATCTCCCACTGGGGATGTGCCCGCAACCCAGGTACATGCCCTTGACCGGAATCGAACCCAGGACCCTTCAGTCCGCAAGCCGATGCTCTATCAACTGAGGCAAACCGGTTTCGGCATCTATGTCATTTTTAATATTGTTGTAATTATCACTAAGTTCTTGAGAATCCTTATAATCATTACTTTGAACTCTATCTGATAAAATGTTTGACTCCATTTCCTTTAGCTCTTTTTCTGAAGATTTATTGTTCTTTTATTTGGGGTCTGTTTCTTTGTCTCCCCATTTTGATCAACTCTTTGTGTTTCTATGTATTAGATAGATATGCTATGATTCCCAGTCTTAGTGCTTCGTGGGGTGGCCTTATGTAGTAGGTGTTCTGTGGGATCTAGTGGTGCAATCTCCTTGACCACATGAGCTTTATGCTCTAGGAATGTCCCTTGTGTGTGTTATGTGAGCTGTCCTATTGTAGTTGAGTCGTGATTGCTATTGGCCCATTAGTGCCTGAGATCAACCCTCTGACTGGCTGACTACGAGGCTGAACCCAGACCATGGCTTGGGAGCTGTTAAGTGGGTGCTGACCACATGAAACAGATTTCACTTCAGCAGGGTTTGGTGCCTACCAAGACCTCTTTTTGTATATGCTCTTTGTGAAGCTTATTGGATCCTGCTCTGATATTGTCTGAAGCTGACCACTGGGTGTGCTGGTTCTGGACCTTTTGGAAAGGACTCTGGTACAGGTTAATTTCAAAGTCTGCGTCTGGCACTCAGCTACCTGTTTGGAACTACAAGCTATCCACAGTTGTGGTTGCCTCTGCAGGGCTTGAGTGCACATGGTTTTTCTAGCACTGGGTGCAGGGGCAGGTCAACAAATATCTCAAGTGACCCTGAGATCCACCTCCACCTATCTCTGCCCCCTGGCTGCCTGTTAGGCTCAGTAACTGAAAGAGCCTCTGTCAAAGTAGTGAGAATTCGGCTGTTGGAGCTCTCCCATAGGGGGCAGTGCTGGTCAGGCTTCAGGGAAGGTGATGGGTGTGGTACCCCAGAGCTACACAATTCAGTGTGTTCCTTAGTAAGGCAAAGTCACTAGGAGTCAGGCAGTTGGGGCATCCAGAACCTGGAGTTGTGTTTGCTGGAAGCCAAGAGGGTAGTTCTATCAGATGTCCTCTGAGATTAACCCTGAGGTAGTCGCCATGCATGACAATGCTGATTCCCCTCAGGGTTGACCCCCACTACCACTCTTTGCTACTAGATTTATAACCAGACTCAAGGCCACTAAAGGTGCGGTACAAAGCATGACCCATGAGGAAGTACACTACACTCCAAAAGAACTACTTGAGTTTTCCAATTTATACAGACAGAATTCCTGGGAATACGTGAGGGGATACTAAAAATTTAGGAAAATGGTGAAAGGAACATAGAGTTATATCAGGCCAAATTTGTTGATATGAACCCACTAAGAAGATATTCTGCATTTACAGTTGTAATTCTTAGGGAATTAGAAAGGCTTTAACAGTTTGGTTGGTTGGCTTAAATATGGGCGAGAAGGTAGCCAGTGAATTAGCTAGAAATGCCAGATCTGCATTGGATTACTGTAGAGGAAAGAATTCAAAGGTTTAGGGAGATTGAAATGTTAGAGTGAATTTGTCATTTCATTTAAGACCTACTCACCCACCTTGGGAGGATCCAGGAATGACATTCGAGCCCTACTTCACATTTGTGTCCCCCCCTAAAATTTATATGTTGAAGTTCTAACTCCCAGTGACCTTACATGGAGATTGGATTCTTACAGAGATAATCAAGCTAAAATGAGGTCATTAGGGTGGGTCCTAATCTGATATGACTCAGGTCTTTAGAAAAGAGGAAATTTGGACATAGCATACACAGAGAGAGAGAAAATATGATGTGAAGAGACACAAGGAGAAGATGGTGATCTACAAACTAAGGAGACAGGCCTGACACAGATTCTCCCTCATAGTCCTCAGAAAGAACCAGCTCTGCCGACACCTTGATTTCAGACTCACAACTGCCAGACAATGAATTTCTGTTGTTCGCGCCACTCATTTTGTGGGGCTTTGTTACAGGAACTCTAGAAAACTAATATACCAAGCATCCAAAAAATGCTATTTTTAGTACTGCTGCATTTTGAAAAGAATAGAATCATTGAATACCTGTCAAATGCATTGAAAGCTTTTGTAGGTGTTAGAAAAGCAGCTGCCCACCACTGATATCATAGATGCACTACTTTTATATTCAGGAATAAGCAAGGAGAGCTTCCTGTGGGCTTCCTAAATTTTTTGGTTGTCCACTTACCTCTGTCATCCTCTATCGTCTCTTATTTTAGATAGGGTTTGCTATCTTTTTTCTGTTTGGTTCCTAGTTTACCCCACTTAAACTAATTTTATTTTCCAAAAATCACAATAAAAAGAGGGTTGGTTAATTCCATCATATACTTGGTTCTTTAGACAAAGTTTTTCATAATAAAAATTTCCACCTATTCAGGAGTAATACATGCACACATTGGAAAGAATGACATTCAGGCTCTCCTTCACATTCTTCTCATTTCTTACTGATTCTTCAGCATTTCGAATGTAATAAAGATTCACACTGAGAATCTGTACTTCAAGAAAGACATCTTGAATTGCCTTCTTAGAACCCTTCCTTCTTCATCACTAGTTGAAGCTTTGGAAGGACACAATCTGCTTCTTAAGTGCAATTATAGGATGTTTCCTCTGAGCCTCCTTCTAGACAGCTTTTCAGCTCAGCTCTTATATCCTTCTCAGGTCTGTCAAACCAAGATATTTTGCTGGCAGAGTGTTAATTTATATCTACTCTATTTGTGAAAACAAAATGATTATATCCTCATGTGTTTGAAAGTGGGTAACAGAGCACCATTAGAAGTCAGAAACTAAGATTTACTAGTCCACATGCTGGAATCACATCTTATAAAATGTTTTTAAAAATATTTCTAAGAACACTGATCTCCACTTCCCAATAGATATTGAACAAGAGGCTACCAAAAACCATAAGATGCATGTAAATAAAAATACAGGGTCCCAAGTTTTAGTGAAGTTCTGAGCTTTAATGAACTCAGAAGCATAAAAGTTACAAACTTATAAAAACATCATTTGAAAAATTACTTATATTGCTTTCATATTTGTTTTTAAGTTTGCAGAACAAATTTTTATTTGTTTAATCTTTATTGTTGAAAGCATTATATATATCCCCTTTTTCGCTCCTATTGACCCCTTCTAGTCCCTTCCCCCACCCCAAGGCCTTCACCACCCTATTGTCTATGTCCATGGGTTATGCATACATGCATGCAAGTTCTTTGGTTCATCTCTTCCCACCCACTCACCCACCCCCGCCTTTCCTCTGAGATTCTACAGTCTGTCCCATGCTTCTATGTCTCTGGATCTATTTTGTTTATCAGTTTATTTTGTGAAGAACAAATTTTCCATTTCAGTCACTCTGCAGAGGAAAATTTTTTAAATTACATAAAAAATTATTATTCAAGATACACAATTCTAAACAAGTACAAAAGAAATGGAAATACGTTTCAAATGGTATCTCTCTTACATTTGTAAGCATTTGTACTCCTGGAGTTATAAAAGCCTCAAGTACCTCACAAAAACTTTTGGGACACCAGGTTATTAATTCGCTTTTTTCCCCCTTTATCAAGTCCTTTTCTCCAATAGGATCATATAATTTTTGTTTTCATAGTAAGAAAAATGTTTATTTTTCAGCATTAAATGTAGCACATAGCAGATAGATTTTGTAGTTGCCAATTAAAAGACATTGTTCAGCAACTGCCCTGCATGATAAACAATCCGTCTCTTTCTATAGCACATCAAAGTGTATTTCTATTAGAATTCCTCTAACATACTCATCACCAAATTGTTTCCCTGGGACTTCATTGAATTTGTTTACACTTTATATCTGTTATTATAGCTGAAGGCCAAGCTTAAAATCTAGGTAGAGAAAGAAAATGTGAGGTTTCTCCTGTAAAGAATATTGCAAAACAGACATCAAAGGCACAATTTTGCTCCTCAATCTGTTCAATCTAACTTAGTTTACAATTAAAGAATGATTTTAATTGTCAAACTTTTAAATTTTATTAAATGTTGTGGCAATGCATCAAATGAATTCCAGACCTATATAAATACGCAGGCAGCTGTTTGCAATTTGCATTTTTATCAGTTGTGAAAGAGTACAATGTACTTCCTGCATCTTATTTTCAGAATTTGCATTTATCATCTTTGGCTACCCAGTATACAGTAGGGAGTACTTGAATATCTCATTCTTTGAATTTTCATTTTTGATTATAAATCAAATGATGTCTGGGACTTTTCTTTTTCATTTTTCTCTTCTCTCAACCTACAGGTTTACTTGCTCCCATTTCTTCTTGGCTCTAGTAAAACACAAAAAATATTTCAATTATTATTTTTTTTTCTAAATGGCATTTAAATATATAAATTATTTTTTTCAGCAATCTTTAAAGTACTGACATGTTGCATGTCTTTGGCTAATTACCATAAATCTAAACGCAAAACAAAAACTAAGCTATTGTTTTAATTCATAAATTGTCTGAAGGCCATTCAAACTAATTCCACCTTCTTTCTGAAGTTTACTGTGTTTTGGATTTGGATGGAGGACTGGGAAGGAATAAGAAAATACTATATATAAGGCTACACCATGGAGCAGCCAGAATGAGCAGAATGAATGTTCCATCCTATGGAGTCAGTACCGCCAGCCACATCAGCTATGTCTCTACCAGAAAGGACATGTGGCCTCAAGGAAGGCTGGCAATGAGAAAGACATCTCTGATTGCCTTCAGCAACTTTCCTCAATTCCTAACACACATTTTCCTCTCCTATTGCATTATCTTCATAGCAGCCAATGACATTTTTCCCCAAAGGCTCCTCTTGCCCATTTATATTTCTGTGGCCTTGGCTCACAGATTTTTTTAAGAAGAATAGACTAGTGGCAGCTGGTGTGTTCTGCTGCCTGTTTCCAGCAGTCAATCTGCCCACTGGGAAATGCTGAAATCGCTCCTCTGTGCCCTAGCAGGAGGTGCAGGGGAGGAAACACCAGCTAATCTTTCTCTCTTACTCTGGTGATGAAAACAATTGGAATGGGTAAGAGTTTAAGGGTCACAAATTCCCCAGTCAAAAGCTTGGGTAAATAAGAAAACTAACTGTATTTTTTACAATTGGTTTTGATTTTTTGACTGTAAGTCCCCATTTTGTCTGATGTAAAACTTATTGGTACTTGGCACAAAAACTTCATCAAATTCAGTGATTTCTTAGTTGATTCATATTTATATTTCAATCACATTCATATTTGAAATTCTTTCTCAGGGTTTTTCTCCCTCCCACATCTCCCTGCTGCTTATCCTAATTTCTAGGGTTGGGACAGAGAAGAATATTTGCTGTTCTGTGACAACTGGGAAGAGAAACACTATTTCAAAAATCTCGTGTCTCAACAAGATTTGGACCATGTGCTGGTGAATGGTGGCCCAAATACACAGATGAAGGTTTCTCAATCTTGAATGTGCATCCTGGGGATTCTGTTAAATGCAGATTCTGATTCAGCAGGTGTGAGATGGAGATTCCACATTTCTAACAAGTTTCTAGGTCAGTGATGGTGAACCTATGACACGCGTGTCAGAGGTGACACGCGAACTCATTTTTTTGGCTGATTTTTCTTTGTTAAATGGCATTTAAATATATAAAACAAATATCAAAAATATAAATCTTTGTTTTACTATGGTTGCAAATATCAAAAAATTTCTATATGTGACACAGCACCAGAGTTAAGTTAGGGTTTTTCAAAATGCTGACACGCCGAGCTCAAAAGATTCGCCATCACTGTTCTAGGTGATGTCATTGCTGGAGGTCCTCAAGTCATACTTCAAGGAACAAGGGTTTGATTGGTGAATAATAGCAGAGCAATCTGTTGAGGTTCCAGCTGAGCTCGCCCCTCCAATAGGACCTAACCAAAAAGGTATCTTCCTGCTGCTATCAGTCCCAGCCAGGAGGCTTTGTGTAGGGCAGCTGGTGTGTTCTCCAAGAAACTCACTCTTATTGAAACTCACAGGAATAGGTGATGCTCTCCTAGGCAGACATGGAGTTGGGAAATTTCAAGTAGTCTCCAACCCTTTCATCTTAGACATGGCCTGCCCTGCACCCCACCCACCACCAGATGGCATTGAGAAATTCTCTTCAAAGCTTCCCCCCCACACCCCTCCACACCCCACCCTCGCTAGGTTGCCTCTGGGAAGTGCACTGCAGATCCCCTTTATGCTCAGGTTCTTATAAACTTCAAGGGAAATTCTATCATTGGTCTTTCTACACCTGGGTCCTGGCATAGCTGAGGTGGTGAGAGAAAAGAAGAAGGGGACAAGCGAGTGGCTTCACATTGTATCTAGTCTCCTGCTGCTTCTCCAGACCCTCCTTATCACTCTCCAGGGTTGAAAGAAAAAACTGGTTTTGTCAGTTCACATCCCATCACATCCCCTTTCCTCTGCTGTGCATGGGTGGTGCATGTTTCATGGTCTAAACTTAAAGTCATCCTCCCCCCCCTCCAAAATCCTTCTGTAATTCGTGTTTAACTATCTGGGATGGGAGGGAGAAGGCTGCTGGAATAAAAGAGCAGTTACTGGGATGGTGCATGGGTGAAAAGTACATCCCTTAATCCTCCAAATAACTCCCACCCACAAGGAAACCATGGGAGAAAAATGTGTGACTCAACAATCTGTGGTTTTATCCAGGATTTCCACTGACTTTTCACTTCCTTCCCCCTAAAATTAAGTGCCATCATATGTAAAAACTGATACAAAATTAAGAGAAAATATAGTCAATTAAATTGTGCTGCAACAGAATTTTCTTGCAATGCAATATGTTTGGGGAAGAAATGGGAAAAAGGAAAAAACAATTGACTCCAGTACATAAATATACAAGCAAGTCTGCGTACTATGTCATTGCTGCACTCAAAGGAGTTTAGAGAAATACTGCTTTAGAAGATCCTAGCTATTTACTTTGGAAAGGGGACAGTTTCTAGTCTGGATATGTTCTAGTTCATTCTGGAAAGCTCTTGTATAAAAGCGTATGACTTTCAGATGATTCTGAAAATTCTAGGCTACTGATCTAGGAATTCCCTCTCTATAACTTTTTCTGAAATGTTCAATTTTTTGAGAAGTAAACTGAAACCATTTTACCTTGTGTGGTTTTCCAAACCTACACAGCCAGCCCCAGAATAAGCCAGGAGAAGACACCAAGATTTTTAGCAAAAAGACCATCTGAGGTTGGGTCTATAAGCCTCTACCCTGGGAGATTCCAAGGGTCCCACCCCTTCCCAGAGAAAAGAACACAACAAAAGGGAGACCACAGTCATTATGAACCTCCTGACCTGGAAACTGTGTCTTAGGGGACCTATAAGTCTCCTACAGCCAATATTTGTCGATGGTGAACAGAGTAGGGCTTTAATACTTTGTTTCAAAAATATGGTTTTATATATTTGCTTTGTGGTTCAACAAAGAATGCATCTTAACAAGTTATATAATCCTGCTATGCTTGTAGCTAAGGAGAGAAATATGTCAAAAAGATTTTTGATAACACATAAAAGTTGGCAAAGTAGAACACAGTAAAACAAAGCAAAATTAAATTGCTAGTAGAAAAAGATCTATGAAACTCCAAGTAATTATGTTCATATATATCATGAAATTGTTCAAATTTCCTAAATTATGTTCCTTGAGCTTAAAAACTTGTCACTCATTTTTAGAATTGTATAATGTATTAAATATTAGTAAAAGTTTACCTGTATATATCTTTTGAGTTTTTGAATATGCTTTTGAAAAAGGAATTCTTTTTCGCCAAGCTGAACCATTATATGGTGTTGACATATATTTATCTGAGAGAAAAAAAAAAGAAGACTGAGTTAAATATTGTATAACTTTAAAATCATATTCTAGGAGTTTTTCAAATTTATAAACATCTCAGAGATGTAATTCTCTAATTCATGTTACCATTTCAAAGCTAAGGGATCAGTGACAAAAATGAGCTTATTAAGACTATTTAAGTTATCAATGAACATGGGAACACATTCTCTTAATTGGCTGTCCAAGTCCTCAAATAAGACTGTCTGCCTTGAGACTAAGCTAGAGGAGAAAATAGTATCTGAATGTGATAAAAAATATTTCTTTGCCTTGTTTAACTATGATTTTTCATACAATTCTGCTAATATTTATAGAAAAGGAAGGAAGGAAGGAAGGAAGGAAGGAAGGAAGGAAGGAAGGAAGGAAGGAAGGAAGGAAGGACCAGGCCAGCAAGGGAGGCGGCGCCCAAAGGTAGGAAGGAAGGAAGAATGAAGTAGGAGATACAGCTCTACTCCCTTTTCCCTCCATGAAGTGACTCTCATGATAGCAGATTGCTCTACCATAGAGAACTTACTGTTCCAGGAAACCAAAGCAAGTATATACTAACTTGGTCTTAAAATATCTATTGAGAGCTCTATATTTAACTCTCATCTAGCAATGTTGCATTTGCGTTTCCAAGTATGACTATGCAACTGTGATTCTCAACGCCTGGTCCAAAATACTAAAAATGGATTTGCTCTTTCTCTTGTTGACATTTGCACTAATGATGCAAAGGGAATAGTGGGTATAACAGTGGCCACCTTAACACAAATATAGACAATGGCACAAAACTATTCTGGAAGTCACTGTATTCTTCACAGCCACTTACGAACAGGGAAATATAACAAAATTAGTAATAATGTCATGATAGTAAGAAATAAAATTAAAAGCCTTTTTATTAACCTAAGAGTATCCTTATTTTTACATCATTCTGTTTGAAAACAGAAGAAAAACAATTTAAATAAAGTTAAATTCAATTTAAATTGTAAAACAAAGATCCTAAGTGAGACACAGAGTTTTCACTCATGTTTCACAAAGTACACAACCTTCAGAACTCCACTGATCAGGCTGTGAACAGAGGAAAATATAAGCATGCAGTTATAGGGAACTGAGTGGCCTTTTCTTAGTTGAAAAAAGTTAAACCCAACTTTGAAAAAGCAAAATTCGTCTGAGACAGGAAGAAAAAGAGATTTCTTCCCTCCTCCCTTGTGGCCTTGTACTTCCTTGACATAAACCATGGTTTTGCCTATTACGTGATGAAATGATTTAGAAGCAATCTGGGCATGGTGGGAGAGACAAGAGCTTGTCAAAAATATTGCAGTTAACCCTCAAACTAACCCTTTCAGAAAGTAATCATGAAGGTCTCGAGAAAAGGCAAGGCGTGGGCCTGAAATGATCCTTGAACAATGCAGTTAGTGCAACAAGGAAATGTCAAGCATCTGCAAACAGCCCTCAAGAGTGAAATAAAGCTATCCAGGGGGAGCAAAGTGCAGTGCCCTGAGACACAGCGCTAGGAAGCTTCAGTGCCAAGTCATCTGCACCAACATATTTTTTTCCACAGCCTTTGAGTCACGTGCACTCCGGCATATGGAAGAAACCCTTCCACTGGCTTTCTCAGCTGGTGGTGATGGCCTGGAAAGGAAAAGGGGAGTAGGTAGCAGCAAAGACTCATTGAGCCACCAGGAAATTCCAAGGGAAAGCAAACCACAGACCAGTACATAAAGAGCCCCACCTGGACAGAGATTGAGTTTGGGTTCCTTGTTAGCATTGACTTTATTGTAGAAGCCATGTGTGGGCCTGCTGCAGGGAGGTGCATTTAATGAGACAGTCCTGACAGTGTCCCTCTGAACGTGGATATAGGATGCATTCTCAGCATTTCTGTCTTTATTACTGCGATGGTAACTAGTTTTATTTTTTGGATTTGGGGTCTGTAGTGCTGTAAAAGAAAGGGGGAAAAGAGTGAGGAGAAAAAAAAAACGAGTTGATTTCATACCCATTAATAACAATGGAAGACAATGCAAGCTAAAAGAACTAAGTTTATTGGAGTTGGGTTGACACCTAAAGTAACACATTTCACAACAGTAATTTGATTTTCAGGTATATATTATTATTTGATATTTAATATATTTTCAAATTACAATTTAGAAATATCAAATATAGAGACACTCTACCTCTCCGCACTCCTTGGCCAGGAAAGTTCTTTGGTTCATCATAAACCCATTTTCTTTTTTTCACGCCTTTAAAATGAGGCTTCCTCACTGGCTGGACATCATTCACTTAGAGGAAATACAAATTTTTACAGTTTTTTAAAAGATGCTTTCATCTGAAAATTAGTGTAGGTGATAATTACATATCTGTGCATTCACATGCCACGCAAGAGGAAAAAAATAATTCACCATCCTAATATTTTACTTTCCAGAACAAAGGGTGATCTATTTTTAAATACCCCCAAAAAATCTATCTTGAAAATACATGAGAAAACGTTCAATAATTAGCATTCCTCAGAGAAAAATGCTTGTCTTCAAAGGAATGTGTGGATTCCTTTTAAAGAACATAAAATTGCATTCCAGACATAATTATGTGTCTATCTCATTACAATGTTATTACAAGTAGTTTTAGAATTGTTATTTTGAACATAAAACTTTTTATACATTTTTAGTCAAAACTATGACTTCTGAGGAAGTTGGATTAATGTAAAATACTTTTAGAGAATTTTACCTTATCCTTTTAAGATCTTAAGTTGTGTGTATAGATAGTTTGGTAAAACAAGACCAAGTAATCAGAATTTATAAGTGTTAATATTACTAGATTATTCCCTTCTTACTTGCATAATTTTTCATCAAAAATTTTATATGCAGCCGAAACCGGTTTGGCTCAGTGGATAGAGCGTCGGCCTGCGGACTCAGGGGTCCCGGGTTCGATTCCGGTCAAGGGCATGTACCTGGGTTGCGGGCACATCCCCAGTGGGAGATGTGCAGGAGGCAGCTGATTGATGTTTCTCTCTCATCGATGTTTCTGGCTCTCTATCTCTCTCCCTTCCTCTCTGTAAAAAATCAATAAAATATATTAAAAAAAAAAAATTTTATATGCATGCTAAATTTTCCAGAAATTGTTAAGGTATATTTCTCCAGACACTCTTAATATAATTTAGTAGAGAGGAGCATTCTTTGTTACTTCTCTGTAGAGGGATCCTGAATATTCACACGTAAGAAATGCACTGTGTGGATTGCATTGGCTCTCTATAGTGGACCAATAAATGTCTTTGCTTTTGCTCTCAACCTCAGCTTAGGCATTAGGCCTTCAATGAGACAGATTCTCCATCTCCTATGCAAATATCATGCTCCACCCTTATTCTCAAGCTCCTGCTCCTAGGTTCTGAAACCATGTTTTTAACAAATGCCACTAAACTGAGCTTCTTTAGGGTAAAGCATCATAGTTCCCTTAGTGCTTATCTGGGATCCAAGAATAATATATGGGTTCAATAAATTAAATAAGGGAAAGGAGAAAAGATGGAAGAAAACAGAGAAGAAGAGTCATGGGTCTTAATTGTATCACAAAAAGTAGCTTAGAGTACTGAATGGCAAGGAGAAGCCAAATCAAGAAAAATAATCCAAAACAGTAAAAACCTATCATTATATTCCATTATGGGTTACATTAAAAGGGCAACACTAATGATTCTTCTGAGAAGGTAGTATACTATTAATTTTAATACTTAAAATAGTGGGAAAGTATATTATTTACTAGGACCTACATCACAATTCATTGCCAAAGCTAATAAAAAAAATGTTGTCTTTAATTCTTAATCTTGAATAATTTTTAAACCATCCTTTTTAAATTTCTTTTTTAAGATTCTATTTCAAGTAAGCAAAACAAATCCATGGTAAGTCAAATATATCTAAGGCTAAAAAGAGAGCTCTCACTTGAAGAGGGGTCCTCTCTGCACTTCAAACTGATATTCTCAGTAGCATTTAATACATGCGCTGTAGGTGCTAGTCGGGTAGCTAGGGAACGCTTTGGATGAGGACTGTCCTTGTTGTCTTTTAAAGCAAATTAAAAAAATAAAACGTCAGTATTAGTAAAAGAAGTGTCTCGGTTGGTATTTCACTTTTCAAACATAATATGATGGGCATACTACTTTTAAAATATACATATATATGCTAATTTTTAGAATGCATTATTGAAATTCCCTAATCACTGCCTAGAGTCCTCCAAATTTGTCACTAACAGAGCATTAAAAACCCAGTAATACAGCCATTATTTTCAATATGTAAATTACATATTTGTGGCAGTATTTTTAATAATTCCATGCAAAAGAATCAAAAGGTTATCAATTTGACATAAAATGTGCCAATTTAAAGTGAGATCCCAAAAATATTTCTAATGTAACAACTTTCACTTGTTCTATGCTTTGGAGCAGGACTACCCAACAGAGCTCTCTTTAGTGATGAAAATGGTCTAAACACTAGTCTCTTGTGGATCTTGAACACTTGGACTATGGCTAGTGCAACTGAAGAGCTGGGTATTTTTGTTTTATTAAATTTTGTTGTTGTTGTTAATCCTCACCCAAGGATATTTTTCCATTTATTTTTAGAGAGAGTGGAAGGAAGGGAGGGGATGGGGAGAGAGAGAGAGAGGGAAAAAAAAATCAGACACATTGATCAGTTGCCTCCTCCACGTGCCCTGGCCAGGGATGGAACCTACAACACAGGTACACTCCCTGGATCTGATATCAAATCCATGACCCTTCAGTGATCGGGGCTCCCTCTCCAACTACTGGGCACCACCGTCCAGGGCTCCTTTTAATTAACTTAAACAGCCATTATCAATTTGACATAAAATATGCCAATTTAAATGAGTAATAGCTACTGTAATTAGTGTATTTTTTGAGTAGGGTGTTTTGTTTTTTTGTGTGTGGATTAGGCAAAATTTTTTCATCTCTGAGAGAGAAAGGAAGAGAGATTTACATATATTTTCCATTAACAATCCTTGGATTTGATTACAAGTGCCTTTTCCTATTCTTGAGAACATTTATTAGTGGAAGAAAACAGTAGATGAGGTTGTTTAATATTTAGATGGAGAATATGTAATGTGACTGGGAGAGCTGCCCCACAGAGAGGTACCAGTTGGGAGATTCTAAGCATGGTAAGGGCATCATAAAACATTGAGGGAGTATTTTATTATCTTATATCTTGATTATTTACAGACTATCGTTAGTAATAATTATTAAATGGGGAAGTCATCATGAGATTAAAACTCTTCACAGTGGTAAGAAACAAAGCTTTCTAGGAAAATGCAATCATACTGAGTGCTTGAAGTTGGAAAAAGAAACTAAAAATGACTTAGTACTACCATTTAAGAGAACCAATAACTTTAGAGCTAGCAAGACTCCTAGAAATTATGTAGCCCTACAGGCTAATTTTTCAGGCTAATCAGATAAAGCGCCATGTTCAAACAATTAGGGACAGAGCCAGGACTGGAACCTTAGGGCTCTTGACTCCTATTTAGTGTACTTAGCGAAAAGCTTTATTTATTACTTTGCCTATTATATATTTCCACAAAAATTAAGCTTTATGTTTAACGCATCTATTCGGATTAAAATAATAAATGGTTTATTACCTTTAGTATTTGAACATTTCGACATGGTGACTTCTTTCTCTTTCTTTTCATCTACTCCGAGAAATATGATCCTCTGTGGAATGTAGCAATCACCTCCTATGACAGTACCTTACTGTTAGTGGCAATGATGGCAGAAAGCTTTACAAAACTACCTTTCAATACAGGATTATCACTTCTATAACATCTCTTTTGTCCACTTCTTTTTACACAGTTCTCAATGATACCAACCCCATCTCAATATATATCATATATGTTTAGATTAATATATATAAACATATGTGTATATGAATACATAGTATGAACACTTACATACTGATTGCAAGAAAATTTACATAGTCAACACAATTAATTTGCCTTTAACGTAAAATAATCTTTCACCATTTAGAGATAGAGTAAATATAATTTATCTTCCATATATCATCAGATATATGAATTCAGGTTTTTTTCCTTAAAGATCTTCTATTTTTCAGGATAAATATCCACAGTTGCGTTAAATATTGCTTATGTGCTTAATTTTCAGGTGCTTCACCATACAAGTCACCCTTTCTCAACATACAATAAGCGTTTTAAATGACCTTTTTTAAAGGTGACACCCAAATGTGAGCTGCCCTGTACAGAAACCAGTGAAACTAGTATAATAATATTTGACATTTATGGAGCCTTCTTTTATATGTCAGACACTTGTCTGAGTACTTTAAATGACTTATCACATATACTTATCTTCCTATACTCCTCCTAATAATTCAATGTGAGTTTTACCTTAGCTATTTGCTAGATGACACATGTTACTGAATCATTTTGAAATCTTGTGGGCCACAAACATTTATTATTCCCTTACAACCTGTACCATGTCAGGTCTTTTCCAAATTGAAGGAAACCTACTGTTAATGTCTTGATCTTTTTTCCCTTGTCTTTAATAAGGCATTTTTAGAATTAAATTCCCTGGGGTGACATTGCTTAATAAGATTATGCAGATATCAAGTGTACAATTCTATGACACATCATCTGTATATTGCATTGTGCGCCCACCTCTCAAAGTCAAATCTTCTTCTCTCACCATTTATTTGACCCCTTTTACCCATTACACCCCTGCCCCTTCTTCCCTCTGGTAACCACCCTACCATTCTCTGTGTCTATGAGTTTTTGTGTTTTTTTCTTGTTTTTTCATTTGTTGCTTTTTTTACATCCCAGATATATAAGTGGAATCATACGATTCTTCTTAATTTTTTCTGTCTGGCTTATTTTGCTTAGCAT